AGAGCCCTCTTGGGCCCAAGCAGACCAAGAAATGTGGGGATGGAGAAACAAATGAGAGTACTTCCAGTCATGAAAAATGGACAAAAAAATTAAATGTGCTGAAGCCTGCAGGTGTTCCCAATACAGTAGCTTATTTATATGGTAGATCACTGCTGGAGGAACCTTCCCGGAGTGGTGATTTACCCTCCCTTGCCCGCCCCCCTCTTTTTTTGGCTAAGAAAAACCAGTTTTTCATTAAGGGTTGGCATCTGAGAGCTACAAAGACCACTTTAGAGGACCACAATTTGCCTGACCTGATTTAGATTGCATCATTTTCTTTTCTTTTGTTTGCATGTCTTGAATACAAACAGATGTCTAGCATTTCAGTATCTTTGTATAAGAATAATTCTGTCCCCTACTTTTGACCTTATATATATGTATATGCCTGAGACAGAATTCTAAGGTTAATATATATTATATATATTGACCTTAGAATTCTGCCTCAGGCATTCTTGGAGAATTCTGGGAATTGAAGTCCAAAAAATCTCAATGGTATATCCTTCAGCACCACTCAGGAATTAAGTCAGTGTATCTCACATTAAGTTTTCCTCTTTCCCTATATCCTGTTTTCTCATTACATGTTCAAAGTACAAAACCCCCAGAGTACACAGGAGTTCTCTACTGGTGACCTTCTTTAAATACTCTTTGACTTAATATATATATTGACTTAATTCCTGAGTGGAGCTGAAGGATATACCATTGAGGTTTTTTGGACTTCAACTCCCAGAATTCTCCAAGAATGCCTGAGGCAGAATTCTAAGAGTTCCTGCCCCCCCCCTCTCTCTCACAGCAGGCCCTATCTTCCACACTGTTTCGGGTCTTCTTCCTGTACAGAAAGAAAACTGTCCCAATGCTTCCTTAGAGAACTAGGTCTTTGTTGGAGGTATCGTCATGCTGCCCATCAGATCTCCAGATGGCTTTCTCAAAAAACTATACCTCTTAGGAAGCACTGGCGCTCTCTCTCTCTCTCTCTCTCTCTCTCTCAACTGTCCCAATGCTTCCTTAGAGAACTAGGTCTTTGTTGGAGGTATCGTCATGCTGCCCATCAGATCTCCAGATGGCTTTCTCAAAAAACTATACAGTACCTCTTAGGAAGCACTGGCGTAGTTTCCTTTTTGTGTGAGAAATAGGCCTGAGGCAACCTGGACAATAAGAACTGTTTGAAATAAGTGAAATTTGGGTGTTGGTAGGTATGAATTCCCAAACTTCAGCCTGAGGAATTCTTGGAGAATCATGGTACCTGGCACCCAAAAAAGGCAACAACAAATTGGATATTTTGGAGATTGTTAAATTCATAGGGTCAGCATAAATCAAAGGTGACTTAACAGCACATAACAATAAACCATGGTTTCTCTGTGATGTTAAGCTGGGCCAGTATGAACTGCCCTCATACTTCTGAATTTAGAAACTATGCATTCTGGGATCATAATAACTTAGGCAATCAGTGAACAATATGTAGCCCTCCAATATTACTAGACTCCAGCTACCATAATTCCTGCTCATTTGCAATGAAGGGTAGGGCTGGTGAAGTCTGGACATGGGCTCCTCACCCCTGCTGAAGGCTGACCAGAAATATGTGCAGTGAGGTCCTGAATGCTTTGTCTGTGTGTGTGTCTGTTTCAAGCGCTGCATAGTATGTGAATTAATGAGGAACATTCACTCATTGCTGGCACTGACTCATTTGCCATTGGTTAGACAAGTTGGCCCTTGCTGTCAGCTGCGGAAGAGGAATAGCTGTGGGGCCTGGGGCCTTCTGCAGCTGTAGAGGAGTCTGTGGAGAGATCTAATTCCTTCCAGCTGGCAAGCAACTCTGTCTCCTTTCCACAGGCTGAGGAAAGGCCTGCAAAGCCAAGCCCCTTGCATGGAAATCTATTTCTATTTCATTTCATGTGGACAGAACTGACACACTTTCTTCTTCTTTGCTATTGCAGTTTGCCATGAGCTAGCTTGAGAGGAATGCATAAATATGCTGTATTGCAAAGACAGCACAAAAGTCTTTTCAATAGGTAAACTGTGTAAAAGCAGAATTGTTTTTAACGGATTATTTACTTATATTTTCAGAGCTTGGAAAAACTACTTGATGGAATACAACTCCCAGAATCCCCCAGGTACCATGGAACTTTTCCAAGCTCTGTTGCCTGAAGGTTCTGGGAATTGTAGTCCAGAAGAGTAACTTTCCCAGCTTCTGAAAAATGAAGGCTATCACAAATTGTATGTGAAAAAAATGTTGTCTTTGTTTCTCATACTTTCCCCACATTGTAAGTGCCGCAGGTCCCAATCCGATGGTGCCGAGGGCTCAGGGTATCCTGGTAAAACTCCATAGGCTCCATGTTATAAGAATAATCAGTAACAGCCTTTATTTCCACAGATGGGCACACAGGAACAGAACTAGAGGCTTCAACTCCCCCAGTCAGCTTCCTAGGGGGTTGGGTTCCCTGCACTAACCCTCCAGAGAAAGTCCTTTTGAGAGATGCCCTTAGGGTCCTGTCCTTGTAAAATGGGAATAGCAGTTCCAATTGGAGTCCTTTTAATGACAGATGGTAGAGGTGGGCAGAGGGCACCAGGGTCCGTTTCTTTTCTCCTTCTGGAGCCTCCTCTGTCTTTTGCACTTGTGCTTTTGTCATTAGTACCATAGTTGGGTTGGGGTAGTAACCTCGGTTTTCAGTAGACAGCACAGGAGCCAGGTGGCAAAGGGCATGCTGAGGAATCCAGCAGTTTTGTCACAGGGGGCCCTCCCTCCGCCCAGTTGATGATTCAGAAACGCCTCTTTGGAGATCCTCTTCCACCTGCTACCCACTTCTCCCAAGGAACAGAAGCGGTGTGATTCAGAAATGCCTCTTTGGAGATCCTCTTCCACCTGCTATCCACTTCTCCCAAGCCTTGACAGCCTCCTCCAAGGTCACCACGTTTTCCTTCTCAACAAAGCCATCAAGTCCTCCTGTTCCTCCTTCTTTATTCTGGCCACTGCCACTGTCTCCAGAGGTGCCCCTCATCAATAGGCTTCTCCGTGGACAGCAGTCATCCCTCACTAGTAGCAAGATGCCAGTAACAGCCCCCTCGCACATGCCCATTCATATTGTGTCATATGCATACCTTTTCACATTTATGCAATCTCAGCTCCATTATTTATCAGGCAAAAAATCCACCAATTGCATGGTCAATGAATAATATTTTCAAACATTGGGTGAATGCATGGACACAGTGGACTAAATCCAGTTGTTAATGCTTACTTCAGTAGATACACAGAATTAATGGGACTTGCATTGATTATCACTAAATTCCATTAATTCCACTACTTGGAATTAACAGTTGGATTTAGCACAGTAATTCCAGTGCCTGCCTTTTTGTTCTCAAAGATTTGTAACAGGAAAATATTCTGCATGCGGTTGAGTCAAAGCTTTTAACATTTAGAAATCCCAGTGATTTTAAATTAAGAATATTTAACATTCTCAGTGAAATCTGTGAGATTTAAGCATGGCTGGAGCATGTTCACTGTATTCCTGTTGACTGAAATAGGCAAAGGATTGAGTTGCACTCTCCATTTAGGGCGATCTAGGGTGTCCCCTCAGTTTCCCTCTTGAGGAATTTGTGATTGCCCCCTTGGAATGGTTGTGTGGTTCTTTCTTGTTATGTGAGGAGGTGAGAGGACACTCTTAACAGAGAATCCTAAGTTACCTTCCTCAAACTACAATTTGGAGTATTAGTATTAATTTTTCATTGGTTAGCTAGAACTATCAGCTCTCAAGACAGCTGAAGTTTCAGGAAATTAATACGTGTCTCCAGATTGAGAAACAAATCTCAAAGTGAACAGCACTGGAGGAGGAGAGAGTTAATTCTTCTGTGTGAGGCAAAAGTGGTACAACTTCTCCCACAATCTAAAGCGGGAAGGGAAATGCTGCTACCTATGCCACTCCGATACCCACTGCACTCGTTGCAGAGAAAGAAGAGGAAAAGAAGGTAGAAGAAGGAAGGTACCATGGATTCGTTTATTCCCATGGCTGCCTGTGTGTATATCCCAGGTGCCCTTACCCAGTCCAGGGAATAATGCCTCAAGGCCAAGCATCTTTGAGACTGAGGCGTTATGGGGGCATTCCAGGCAATTTTGGGGGCCACATTTCCCCAGGTATGATTCCCAGAAACATCAGAGGACTGGCCAGATGATGCAAGTGAGCAGCATTGGGGAGAAAGACACCTGCATTACCCTCCTTCTCCCTGTTCTCAATCCCAATGAGTATTGCAGAGCCCGAGGGCATTCCTCAGGTAGGGTGTGCAGGCAGACAGCTAAGGTAACAGAATGGGTGGCAGTTGTATTTATACCATCATGGCCCAGCGTGACTACCTTGGTCTGGATAATGGCTAATCCAGCCCTGGTGAGATGTGTCTTTAAAGACAGGGCATCTGTCTCCACCTATTCCCAGCTGGAGCCAGGACTTACTGGCTCAGGACAATTGTGTGTTGTACTTGTTTCCCTCCTGACCCCTGCCTGCCCTACTTCTGTGATGTCATCATACCCTGCCTGTGGCATCACAAGAACTGCCTTTCTTGTCTCAGATGTTTGCTCTGAAATCTCAGGGAATGGGACCTTCTGACATGAAAACCCAAAAGTTAAAGGTTGGGTTTCTTCAGTTACTTTTCTGGACTGCTGTTTGTAGAATCACCCTAACCAGCAGGAACGCTGGAGCTGCAATTCAAAAAAGGAACTTTTCTAAGCTCTCTTTATATTCATTTCAAAGCAGTATCTGTCCTGGAAGCCCTTCACTAATTCAAAGGCATACAGGCTCTGGTACACTTTACTGCCTCTTAGAGTGTATAATATACAGGTCAAAATTTATGCAGCAATAACATTTATTCACAAATCTTTGGCCTTGTTCCATCCAGAGAACTAGCAGAGAGGTGAAAGAGCATTTACTTCTTACAAGCCTTTACGATAATGAGCTTGATGAAACTGTCTCTTTTTACAGCTGCAGAATTCAGAGGCATGGCTCTTCGGCTGTTGCTGTTTACACTGGCGCTGGTTTCAACAAGCCATTCCTTCCCTACAAGCTCGGGTGAGTGTTAAAGAGGAATGTGTTTTGGAGGTATTGATATGAAACACTTTCTGATGTGCTTAAAATGAGATATTTGGTCACACCTGTCTCTGTACCATGATTACCCTGATACGAGCCCATTCTTTGGCCATGAAAAGCTGGACTACAGTAAATAAATGCTGTAAGACACATTTCCATGGTAGTTTAAAATCATTTGGTAGAACAGTTTGCACTAAACTGTACTTCAGAGTTTCTCTTTCGCCTTATCACCTGCTTGCGAGCTAAGATAATTAGGTAAAGGGACATGGTCTGTGTTTCCTTAATAGCGTAAGCTTGAGTCATCTGCAGCAAAAACATAGGGCTACTTCAGTAGTGGCTTCAGATCTGAGAAATGGCATTCTGAGAGAGAGGTGATTGTGTACCTCTCTTTTCATCTTTAAGCAATGTGTGAGACAAAAAGATCTAGCCAGGGGGCCCTTTTGAAAGAGCCGTCCCTCAAGGAGGTAAGAGGGATGGCTTGTAGACAAAGGGTCTTTTTGGCAGCTGCCCCCAGACTATGGAACGCCCTCCCAACTGAAATTCGTCTGGCGCCGACATTGATGACATTTCGGCGCCAGGTCCAAACCTTCCTGTTCCAAAAGGCTTTTAATTGAAATAACATCAACTGTGGGTCCTGATGATGGCAATTTTAATTGTATTTTAATCATTTTATTTTTATTGTATTGAATTTTAATTATTGTAAGCCGCCCAGAGACCTCTGGGTAGAGTGGGCGGCATATAAATTTAAATAAATAAATAAGGTGTTAGAATTACAGAATAATGAAGTTGGAAGGGTCCTAGAAGCCCATCAAGTCCAATCCCCTGCTCAATGCAGGAATCCAAATCAAGGTTTATTTGACAGATGGTTGTCTGATTTTCTCTTGAGAACCTCCAGTGCTGGAGAGCTCCTCACCTCCCAAGGTAATCGGTTCCATTGTCATGCTTTCTAACACGTAAGAAGTTCTTTTCTGATAGTCAGCCAATATCTAGCTTCCTGTAACTTGAGCCTGTTATTACATGTGAAGCATTAAGACCTCTTGGTAATTTTTCATTTGTTTGTTTGCTTCAAGAGAAAGGTGAATGGGATAGCTGGCAATTGTTTCCTGTTTGTAATATATTGTTATTTTAATTTTTTTTGGAGGTCTTGGATAAGGTGTGATAGAAGAAAACATCTTAGGGAAAAATAGGTTAGACTTCTGTCCCTCACCTCCATCTGAAGCCTGGATATGAGCCGTGTAGGTTCCCCACATCTGTCATCAGTGAAGAAGCTTAATTTTTTCTCAGAACTTGGAAAATAACTTCTAAAAAGTAATTAAAATAATGAATTTTCTGACTATAAAAAGCCTGCCAAAAGTGACTCATTACCACTAGGGTTTCAAAACTTTTTTTAAAAAGTTGCTTATGTTATTTGTTTGTTTAGATAAAATAATCTATTACAAAAAAGAAAGAAAATGGCCCAAACTTTGGAGAGAGAGAGAGAGAGAGAGAGTCCCCTTCAAAATATCCCTAAAACATTTTTAGCCAACAAAAAGTAACAAATTAATGAGTAAACAGTACTCATTATGTGGGGAAATGTGATTATTAGCAAAATAACTCTATTCTCGGAGGCTTTCATGGCCGGGATCCGATGGTTGTTGTGTGTTCTTTGGGCTGTTTGGCCGTGTTCTGAAGAAAAACCTTCAGAACACGGCCAAATAGCCTGAAAAACCTACAGCAACCATCAAAAGAACTATATTTGTGACTTCTTTCTCCAGAAAGTAATGTATCAGTTCTGGATGGTTTAAGCATATCATTATATTCATTTTCTTAAAAGTGCAGTGGTGCCTCGCTTAACTATTACCTCATTAAATGACAAATCCACTTTATGATGAGGTTTTTGTGATCGCAATAGCGATCGCAAAACGATGTTTAGATAGGGAAATTTCGCTTGACGATGATCGGTTCCCTGCTTCGGGAACTGATTTTTCGCTAGACGATGATTCTAAAACAGCTGATCGACGGCTCTAAAATGGCCACCCGCTGTGCAAAATGGCTCCCCACTGTGCTTTAGGATGGATTCCTCGCTTTACAGGCACCGAAAATTGCTGCCCCTATGGAGGATCTTCGCTAGACGCTGAGGGATTTAGCCCATTGGCACGCATTGAACTGGTTTTCAATGCATTTCAATGGGTTTTTTCGTTTTGCTTAACGAGGATTTTGCTTAACAGTGATTTCAATGGAACAAATTATCTTCGTCAAGCGAGGCACCACTGTAACTTTAACAGAAATGGGTAAAGTGGATGAGTGCAGTAGAAAAATTACCTTTGGGGATTGTAACTACCAGACATTTCCCCTGCCCCCACAGCCAGCATGGTGAGTAGTCATGCCAACTGGCAGGTTCTGGGAAATGTAGTCCAGAAACGTAAGTGATGAGGTCACTTCAGTCCTGCCAGATTTTGGCATGCATTATGAAAACAAAAAACTGTCTGAGGGCAAACTCCCCTTGATGGGGAGAAATACTGCCCACTTCTGCTCTAGATGAATATACATAGCAGGTTATTACTTGTTGGTTTAGGTATCTGGCTGCAGAGCCAGAGGTTGGGAGTTACCATATTTTTTTCACGTATAAGACACCCCCATGTATAAGACACACACACACCCCACTTTTCGAACCCAAAATTTCTTTCTTTGCAAAAACCTGCTTTCTCCCTCGCAAAAAGTGGAGGGGGAAAGCAGCTTTTTGCCAAGAAAGTGGATCCCTCCCCCCTCTTTATTCCTGTGTATAAAACAACCCTCAATTTTTCCTCTAATTGTTTTAGGGGAAAGTATCATTTCATACATGGAAAAATACGATAAATTCCCCCACTGTGTCTCCTGGACTGGGACTGGACTTCATGATCCATAAGGCCCTTTCCAGCTCTGCAGTTCTAAGGTTATTCTTTATAACATACTTTCCTGTAGCTTACAACACTGATTGTCCTTATGAGAATGTATTTTCAGATTCTTTCTGACCATGAGGTTTTCATTTTCTCTGCCACCACGTCATTTTGTTTGGATTTGATATAATTTTATTTGGAGTTCTATCATTGCTTGTTTTGTTCCAGTTTTGGTTGCTAATTTGGCTGCTCTGTTTCCTTTTTACTATGTTACTTTGTTTTATTTGGGGCATCTAAAGCCATCTGCTAGTGCAGGGGGAAGTTGTTTTTTAAAGGCATCCCCACTTTGAATAGCATAATATTTAACTTTCAAGTGTGAGTTGTAAGAAATCAAGCAGAAGATGATATGTCTCATTTAGGACTCACTAAAATGTAAAATGGAGACACGGGCAACTAAAGAAAAGGAAATAAAAACTGGTTTAGGAGGAAGTAGTGCAGAATCAGGAGGGCAGAGATTTTTTGGATGATGGTTCTCTGAATGCCACAGGTAACATGCCCAGAGGAACAGTTTTGGAATGGAGATATGGGTGGAAGTTTAAGCATCCCTCCTTCCATGAAGCTGCTTCTTTTTCAAAGTTGTTTAGGAAGAAATATATTGCAGTGCCATTTGAAATAGTATAGTGAATTTGTAATAGATTTATTTGAACTACTATATATTATTTTTTAAATTGTTCTGACATTAAGTGCTATAATACTAAATGCAATGTTTGTAAAACAGGTAGGTTGTATTTAAAAGTGTCCCATTAAGAAGTTCATTCTGTCACCTATGGCCTGAATTGTGATAGCAATTTTTTTATTGTACTATGATCAATACTTGAGTTTAAGACATAAGACATAAGAAATTTATTTGTCATTGCACTCACAAGTGGGTGCAACGAAATGAGGTGCTCTTCCCCAAGGTAAAACTGGACAACACCACTACAAAAAAAAAAAAGTTGAAAATATACACAACACTCACCATACAAATATAAATACCCCGTTTCTCCCAGCAATTAAAATTCCACCAAAAACTTATGACCCCGCATTTAAACTCAATACTGCACTTGGGTAAAAGCTGTTCTTGAATCTGCTTGTCCTTGCTTTCAATACCCTAAATCTCCTTCCCGATGGTACAGTTCTACCTTCGATAAATTACATATATACAGCTACGAAGCTGAAATGCAATTGATGAAGTGGTTCATGGTAGGCAAAGGCTTTCCCATAATAAATGTTGCAGTCTGTTCTCTACCTAGAAAACCCTGGAAGGTATCACCACAAATCAGAATTAACCTGATGGCACAGTTATTATCAGAGAACAAGCTATGCATGCTCCTTATAAAGATGGATAGTTGGAGCAAATCACGTTTAGGGCAACTATATGTGACAGTTCTATATATGAAGGCACTCTATCTGAAGACCTGTCCAAGTTGGTTAAAAAAACCTTAAGAAGAGCAAGGAAGTTGAAGGTGCCCATCAGCTGTGAGTGCCTGGATGAGAGACACACAGGTCACCTGGGTGTAGTCTGTGTTAGAGATGTTACACTTCTATTTATTTTAGACTATTAAAAGTAGCTTAGATTTTTCATTCATGCATATAAATTTCCATCTGAAAATATTATGCCACTTAATGTCTCTTTCTTTCCCTCCTGCCTTTTTGTTGTTGTCATTGCTGCCCTTAACGGTGTAGTTGTACAACGTGGCGTCTATGGACCAGAATATAGTCTGCCTACCTACCACACAGCAAGTGCCACAAGTTATCTCACACTGCCTGTTCTTTTTATGTTTGTGCCTTAAATTCATATCCATGTGCTAAAGCAGGGGTCCCTAACTCCCGGTCTGTAGCCCAGTGTCGGTCCATGGGCTTCCTGGAACTGGGCCACAGAAACAGATCACTGCCCCCCCGCCCCCCTGCACAGTGGGCATGTCGTGTTCACGCAGGGGGCATGTCACGCTCATGCAGGGGCGTGTCACGCTCGTGCGCAGGGGGCATGTCGCGCTTATGCATAGGGGAGTGTCACACTCACACGCATGCGCACAAGTACAACACACACACACTGCACAGAGCCCACCCCCCATTGGTCCACGGTCC